GGAAATTGAGAGGATGCCCACCAATTGGGGAATGGCTGAGCAAGTTGTGGTATATGAATGTAATGGAATACTATTGTGCTATAAGAAATGATGAACAGGCTGACTTCAGAAAAACCTGGAAAGACTTGCATGGTCTGATGCTGAGTGAAGTGAAACAGAACGAAGAGAACTTTGTACACAATAACAGCCACATCATGCGATGATTAATATTGATAAACTTAACCCCTCTCAGCATTACAAGGATCTAAGACATCTCCAGAGGCCTCGTAATGGAAAATGCTGTCCACATCCAAAGAGAGAACTATGGAAGCTGAATCGCTATCATTTTTTTCTCTTCTGTTGAGTTTTGTTTCCTCTTTCGGATGGTTCTTCCTATTGGTTTTAATTTTTACTTACAACTTCACTAAAGTGCAAATATGTTTAATAAGAATGTAAATGTATAGCCTATATCAGATTGTGCGCTGTCTTGGGGAGGGTGATGGGGAGGAAGGGGGAGAAAAATTTAAAACTCAAAAGCATATGGAAGTGATTATTGGTAAATCAAAATAAATTGATAAAATTTAAAAAGAAGAAAAGAAAAAAAAGAAAAACATGGAAAAAAAAAGACTGTGGGCCCTTTAATAAAGTACCATTGGCTCTGAGCTTTGCCTCAGTTTTTCTTTTTTAATAGGTTGGACAATTTTATTCTGTACAAATACCCTGATACTTGGATGGGGTCAGCTCTATTTCCAACCTGCTACATAGACAGCATGTGTGTGGCCAATAAGCTTGAAATCTGATGGTCTTCCATTTCATATTCTTTTATTTCTATCATAAGCACAGAATTCACTTTATCAGGAGATTCTGATATTTGGCAACAGTCTTCCAACCTGTGCATAAAATGGCCATTTCATTTTTCATTGCTGTGATTTGTTCTTTAATATACCTGATTTAGAGTCTCTTTGTAATCCACATTTCACCTTTCAATTCCTTTAGTGTATGGTTTGACTCCTGACCAATTGAGGAATTTATTGCTCTTTTACACTTTTTGAGATTCCCAAGAACTTCTAAATCCTCCTGTTCTCTAAGTAAGAGATTTCTTTCTCAAAGTACACAAGCAGACAGGGATGAAAGAGGAAATCTGGTGGAGGTACCAGTGTAGAGGATGACAGGGGGGATTATGGACAGAATCTTCTGACATCCTGCCTGCAGCAGAAGGTCCTTTTGTGGCACTACATTACAACAAGGGAAGATGCATGAAAGGGAGGAGGAGAAGACGGGACAGGAAGAAGAGAGTGATATGACAAGGTCTCATCAAAGACCAGAAATTGTCAATTCAATCCCATATACATTTATTAAGCACCTACTATGTGCTAGGCACAATGCTAAGCACTGATGAGATAGAAAAAGAGGCAAAAGACAGTCCCTGCCTCAAGGAGGTCACCATTTAATAGGGGAGACATCAAGCAAACAAATACATACAAAGCAAGCTAAGTCCAGGATTAATAGGACATAATTAGAAGAGGGAAGGAATATGAATGAAGAGGAGTTAGGGAATACTTCATGTAGCTTTTTACTTGTTGGTTGGGACTTGAAGGAAGACAGTGAGATTAGTAGTCTGAGCTGGGGAGAGAGAGTATTCCAGGCATGCTGTCGGACAGCCATTGAAAATGCCTAGAGCTGAGAAAGAAGCCAGGAGGCCAGACTCACTGTATTAAAGGATAAATGTTGGGGAGTAAGTTGTAAGAAGACTGGAAAGATTGGGGTATGGGGTTGGTTAAAAAGGGCTTCAAATGCCAACCAGAGAATTTCCTATTTGATTCTGGAGGCAATAAATAGGGAGCCACTGGAATTTATTAAGTAGAGCAGTGACTTGATCAGAATTGCAGTGTAGGAAATGACTAGTGGCTGAATGGGGAATGGTTTGGAGGGTGAACATCTTGAGGGAAGCACACCAGTCAGTGGGCTATATTAATAGACCAGGCATGAGGTGAGGTGGCCATGCGCTAGAATGATGGTAGTGTCAGAGGAGAGAAGGCGGCATATTCTAGAGATGGTGCAAAGGTGAAACTGACAGGCCTTTGCACCATATCGGATATGTGGGGAAAGAGGAGGCCAGGATGACTCTGACAGAAATTGTTAATACCAAATGTACTATGAATTGCCACTCCCTTAAATGATCCTTGTAATGTCAGAATTTCAATAATATCCTTACATTCCTATTCTTAAGACATTTGCTTTGGATTAAATTCAGGTGAACCATACCCGAGGTACTCCGACCCAGGAGTGTTGCCTTGTGGGGAGCCCAGCTCAAGCTAGATTTCAGCTTCTAGTATGTCCTTGATCCCTGACACTGGGATTCATGTCATGAAGGGCAGAGCAGCTGGAATGAGGTGGCTTTCCTTGCTTGGATTGCCCAGGGCCACCAGGGTCTCATGACTAGGGCTTGCTACTTTATACAGCCTCCTCCCTCTGTTCTCCTAAAACTATAAAACTTTTTCACGAGTCTATTTGATATGGAAATACACTGGACATCCCCCAGGGTGGTAGGTTTGCTACCCTGTAATCTCAATTAAAGAAACTTTATTCCTCAACTCACGCCTTTGAGTTATTTCAGGACTTGACAACTCCTAGGTGGGGATGGGAAGATAGTGTTGTCCTCTACAGTAATAAGGAAAGTAGAAGTGGTGTGTGTGTGTGTGTGTGTGTGTGTGTGTGTGTGTGTGTGTGTGTGAATATCTGGGAGAGAAATAATAATTTCTGTTTGGAATAGAATGAATGAAATGTCTACTGGTCATCCAGTTTGAGATGTTTCTAAAGAAATTAGGGATCCAAGACTGGAGGTCAGCAGAGATTGGGGCAGGAAAAGTACATTTGGGAATCATCAGCACAGAGACAGTGATAAAATTCATGCAGCTGATGAAATCACCAAGGAAATTAGGATAGAGGGAAAAGAAAAGAGGACCAAGGGAAACCTATGGTTAGAAGGTTAGATCTCAGGAAGATCTAGAAAAGACAGAGAAGAAGTAGTCAGATAGGTAGGGGGAAAACCGGGAGACAGTGATGTCCTAAAAACCTAGAGAGAAGAGAGTATCATGGAGGAGAGAGTGACCAACAGTGTCAAAGCGGGGAGAGAGGTCAAGGAGAATGAGGATGGAGAAGGTGACCTCTGTGGTCTCAAAGAGAGAAGAGCATACAGAAGAGTGGGTGAGGAGGAGGGGAAAGGTGGAGAAAGAAAGCCTTGCTTTGAAGGTGAGAGAGGGAAAGGTGTATCACACCTGGGTGAGAGGGGAGTGTTGTTCATTGCAGGCTACACCAGTGCAGACTGGGCCCCAGAAAGAAATCAGTGGTGGCTGTGGCAGCTTCTGGACCTCTCAGCCCACAAATGGTAAAGGGTCAGATAATTAGTTAGAAGGAGATTACAGGGGCCCCTTTATTGGCACCAGGGACAAGGCTCTGTTGTTTTGCCCATGCTAGGATGTGGATTGAAGTCCTGGGTGACAATCCCACTGAGGAGGAGCACATCAGGGCTTCCAGCCTCTGGAGAGTGGGGACTCTCCTCACAGTTGCAGGGCAGAAAACAATGCTTGTGGTCACAGAGAAGAGTGCAGGCTAGCAGAGCAGTACACACACCCCTTCTTAGCTCTTACTGCCTTGGCAGAACTGAAAGCTTACAGTGAGTCCTCCACCCTGAAAGCAGAGCCCCACTTCAGTAAAGAGTTAAAAGTCAAGGACTAAGCAGGAAAAATGAGAAAATAACTGAAAAAAATTCTGACTACAGAAAGTCACTATGGAGACAAGGAAGATCAACACACACTCAGAGGAAGACAACAAAGTCAAAACTCCTACATCCAAAGTCTCAAAGACAAATTTGAACTGGTCTCAGGCCATGGAGGAAATTCCTGGAAAAGGATTTTGAAAATCAATTAAGAGAGATAGAGGAAAAAACAAGCAGAGGTAGAGGAAAAACTGGGAAAAGAAATGAAAGTGATACAAGAAAATCATGAAAAAAGAGTCAAAAGTTTGGTAAAGGAGGCACACAAAAATCCTGAAGAAAAGAACTTAAAACATAGAATTTACTAAATGGAAAAGGAGGTACAAAAGGTCTCTGAGGAAAATAATTCCATAAAAATCATAATTGAGCAAGTGGAAGCTACTGACACTATGAAACATCAAGAAACAACCAAACAAAATGGCAAAAAAGAAAAAGAAAAAGTAGAAGGCAATGTGAAATATGGTCCCAAAGACTGGAAAGTTCTCAATCCTGACCCTAACTAAAAATGCCTGCTCTGGGCTTCCTTCAAGTCTCAGCTAAAATTTCACTTTCTGAAAAAATTATTTTCTTGGTTCCCAAAATTGTTAGCACCTTCCCTCTCAGACTTAATGCCATTTTATACCATACAGAGCTTGTTTGGATAAAGCTGCTAACATGTTGGGGCAGCTAAATGGCACTGTGGATAGAGTCTGGCCCTGGACTGGGGAGGACCTGAGCTTGAATTTTGCCTCAGACACTAGCTGAGTGACCCTGGGCAAGTCAGGCTTAACCCTATTTTCCTCAGTTTCCTCATCTGTGAAATGAACTGGAGAAGGAAGTGGCAAACAACTTCAGGATCTCTGCCAAGAAAACCTCAAATGGGGTCATGAAGGTTCAAAGAGTCGGACGTTACTTAAAAAACCCAGCAACAATACCAAATGCTTACTGACTGGACCCAGGAAAGGGTAAAGGGGAGGGATTCAGGGATTCAGGGAGACCAGGGAAACCTGCTTGACCCATTCTAATGAGGGAGAACTTCAAAACAAAGAGGGGAGGGAGAAGGCAGTGCTCCATATGTCAGAGTGCCAGTGAATCAATTTAACACAGAGAAGCAGAGAGCAGGGCAGTGTTTTTACTGCCTTATTCAATTTGATGCCTTTTTTTGTAAAGAAATGGTCCATAAGGAAGGTACAGCCTGCTTCATAGACCATCCTCTCTGTCTATGGCAATGTCCTCATTGGCTGATGTCTGCACAGACTGCACTCACCTGAGCTAGGGGGCTGCTGCTCCCAGGGGCCATTCCCTCTGGCTCCAGGCTCCCTGCTTGGGCCAGGCCTTGGTACTCTGCAGACTGAGCTGGGCAGGGAGATGGATCCCAGTAGGGTAAGGTCTTTTTCTTCTCTTCCTAGGCAGGAGGTTGGCCTGCAGGGATTTACAGAAGGTGAAGTCCTAGAGGAGTTACAAAGTCCCAGGCCCTGCCCTCAGGGGAAAGACAACTCTATGGAGGGAGGGAGGAAGCAGAGAGGGTCAAGCTTAGAAATGGAGATGGTCTGGACAAGAAAAACTACTTCCTTCCCTCTCTCACTCCTTCTCTTCTGCCCCCTGCCCTCCCATCCCCCTACACTGACCCAGAAAGCTGAGGGGGCTTGGGTTCCCATATGGGATGAGACCAGTCAGAGCCTCAATGACCCCTGAGTCAGAGTTCTCCCTCCAAATAGTCCTCTGCTCTTCCTGCATCCTCTCTCTCTGATTCAGGCACACATAATCTAGACAACAAACTGACTCCTTGATCTAGGAGGGAAGGAAGCTAGGGAAGGTTGAGGATGGGGAGGGCTCTTGAATGGAGACAACAGGGAATGACCAGGGGAAGCCTGAGACTGGGAGAGAAAATCCAGTCTGGGATTCAGCCCTCTGGCAGGGGGCCTGAGGCAGGGAAGCAGGAGGACTGGGAAGGGGGAGCAGGGGTAGGGTCTGGGAGGCAAGACATTCTAACATAGCTCATGGCAGGGAGGTGGGGGACAGTGGAGTGACAGAAGGGCTCCAGGTGGACACTGAGCCTGGGGAAGCAGAATGACTGTGTCCTGAGTTCTAACTAGGAGCTGGGGAGGACTGTTGGGATCCTCTGGTAGAGCTTAGGCTTGGAATCCCTAAAGGGAAACTGGAGACAGGGGACCACATGACTGGGATCTGATAGGGAACCAGCCCCAGAGCCATCCGTACAAGAGAAGAAAGATCAGGAAGGAGCTTTGGTAAAGGTGGGGTTATGGGAGCAGGAAGGTAGGAAGGTTGGACTCTTGGAACTTCAAAGGGGGATGAGTCTGAAGGCAATATAACTGAATTTCTAACCAAGAGCTTAGTGATTAGGGAACAGGGAGGCAAGACAGCTGGATCCTGATAGGAAGGCTGAAATCAGGCATCTCCAAATCCTATATGCAAAGTCTGAAATCTGGAAAAGTGTTGTGAGAGATGAACTCTCAGAAGTGAAGCCTCCTCAAAGGTCAATAATTCTTGATTATTGCTTTCAAAATCCTCCCCCGCTCAGACAGTAACAGAAAGAAGAAGCCCTGCCCCCAACCTGAACTGTTTGCCCTTAGTTTCCTGCCTTTCTTTTGTCTCTGGGATAAGGGAGAAGGGGGATGGGGAGGAGAGACTGCAGTGGATTTCGGTTTCCTAGGAATTACCTAACTCATGGGAATTCGGCCCTAAACCTCCTCCTGCTAAGTCAGCATTAGGTGTACTAAATAAGGACATGTATGTTTGGATCGGCTTTGAATTTTCGCGCCTAGAATGTAAGCCTGCCTCCCCTTAAATGGGAATAAGGGATAGTGGTGAGTAGAGGTTTGTTTCCGTTAAGGTAAATAATCCCATTCCCTTTAGCATGCTGGGCCTCTCTCCTGCATGTACCAGAGGAGTAGACGCCCTTCTCATGAGACTGTAATTAAGGTAACCTTTGCTTTCCACCTTGAGAAATCTCTGAGTTTAATTGGGTTAGGGTCACTGTCCCACACAGTGTTACCCAATGGTAAATCTGGGGAGGGTGAGCCCGAAATTTGGGAAGTGATTTGAAGTCTGGAAAAGATTTAGGGGAAGGGAGCTCATTCATTGTCCAGGCGTGGGAGGAAGGTGTGCTCCTGCCAGATCAGCAGAAGCCAGGAAATATGGAGGGGTGTGGCTGAAACCTACCTGGAATCTGCAAGGACAGAGCTGAGGTCCAGAGGGGCAGAGCGCTCTCTGCTGCGGGGAAGTGAGACAGATTTCAGATCCAAGAGAAGGCAGAACAATCTCGCTGCAGAAAAGGCAGAGAGGTCTCAGCCTCAGGGGAAGAAAGAGTGATCTCAGTTGAAAGACTTCTTCCTTCTGGCCAGCCCACTCTGGGAGGATCTTCCTATCCCTAAGAACGCCACCTGGTCCAGCCCCTGAGGCTCCCAGGAGGGCTGGGCCCTTTTGTCCAATCACACTCAGGGCTAGGACTCAGAGACCCTGATTGCTCTCCTCCCTAAGCCCTGCCCTCCATCACATGAAATGCCTTCTCCAGTGCAATGACACCCTCTGCAATCCTAAACTCCTCCCAGGGCTCAAACTCCACCTGGGCCACCACCCACCAGGCTGCTCATCTATGTGGGCTCCTCCTCTCCAGTGTCTCCACCCCCTCCCTCCTTCCCTACCTCCCTCTCAGACTCACCCTTCCTCCTTCGGAGTGGGAAGACTGCCGGCATAAAACTGCAGCAGCAGCCTAAGTGAAAGTAATACTCCAAGCTACAGAGGGAGGGAGGAAGCAGGGAAGGTCAGGCTTGGATGTGAAGATGTTCTGAAAGGGAAGACTACTTCCCTCCCTCTCTTACTTCTTCTCTTCTATCTGTTTCCTCTCCCCACCCTCATATAGAATCCCAAGAGGGGGGCAGCTAGGTGGCACAGTGGATTAGAGCACTGGCCCTGGATTCAGGAGGACCTCAGTTCAAATCTGGCCTCAGATACATAACAGTTACTAGCTGTGTAACCCTGGGCAAGTCACTTAACCCCATTACCTAGCCAAAAAAAAAAAAATCCCAAACAACCCCAAGAGGTACAGGGGACTTCAGGATCCCTGAGCAGAGTCTCAGCGGCCTGGGAATCAGAGCTGTCCCTCCAACTGGTACTCTGCCCTCCTTGTATTGAGAACCAAGGACAAACAGTCTATAAGTAGTAGTAGCTGCCTCACTGGAGACCAAGTGGCCAGTTCCAGTTGAGCAATGCTGCTATTAACTTCTTTCCTTCCTTTTTCACTTCCTTCCTTTCTCCTTCCATCCCTCCCTCACGGGGAGTCATACCCTTACATGTAGGTGTTATGTTCAAAAGAATAATACTTTTTACCACTTAAACCTCCCAAGATACCTTGGATTTGGGGGGGATAGGTTTTTTTTCTTCCCTCCATATTTATTCTATCACTTCTTTTTTAGACTGGGACAATTAATTCTTGTGTCATGTAGTCTCCATTTATGATTTCTTGAAAAACCATGCCTTGCTAAAGCCACCTGGGATCCAACGGAGCTACTTGACTATGTCTGTAAACTTAAATCAGGCTGGCTTTCAAGGACTGGCCAATAGTAACTTCCAGACCCATTGTTCAGAGTGAGTCCAAATGGTAATTGTTTCTGTTCTGGTCAGTGTCGACCTGAAAGTTTGGTTAAAGAAGGCAAACAAGTTAGGTGACACATGATTATATAGTTTATTCCCTTTTCAGCTAGGGAGTCATGTACATGGAAGCCAGAATGTGATTCTGACTTGGAGATTAAGCAAAATGAGAGAGGTTTTATACAGTTTAGAGTGATCAGAGTCAGGATGTCTGTGTTACAAAAAAAAAAAAAATACAGCCTCCATATGTTTGTTTAACATGAAGCATAGGAAAGGAATTTTCTTAATTGAATAGGTTGTAAATACAATAAGATAGGAGAATGTAAAAGTGTCAATTGAAATAATAGACCAAGATAAGAAGAGTCCCATTATTCAAGAGAGTATCTGGTCCCAGACATCCTGGGCTTAGTGATAACAAATGGGAAGAATGCTGGTCAGTCCTATCTGGTCCTGGAATTTGCTGACACAGGAAGGGTTGTTTTAGTTCACTCAAGAGAAAAAGATTAATTCAGGTTTTTGGCCCTCACTGGGGCTCAATTGATCTTAAATGATTATCATCAGAAACCTGAGGGTCTTCCCTTCCCAGATTGATTCTTTTGAAGGTAAATCTTGGCCTCAGTTCTTATCTGGCCTTTAGTCACTGAATGGGTATTGCCACAGACAAAGTGAGATCTGTGAAAGAAGGCCAAGATCTCCCATGGTATTCAGCGCCATCACCAGTTGTCCTGACCTTTGCCTTGCCGCTGAACTCTGAATGACTCTGGAGGAGAGAATGAAGCTGATGTCCCACTTAAATCCAATTCACTGATGTCATTGGTCCCCTTCAAGAAAAAATAGTGAACAACAATGGAGACCCAAGAGGTTGAAAGGGTTTGGGATCCCAAATGGGATGAGATCAGTCAGAGCCTCAGTCCTTCTTGAATCAGAGCTCTCCCTCCAACTGGTCCTCTGCCCTCCCTATATCCCCTCTCCTTGACTCAGGCACAGATTATCTAGACAACAGACTGACTGCTTGATCTAGGAGCTAGGGAAGGTTAAGGATGGGGAGAGCTCTTGAATGGAGCCACCAGGGAATGATCAGAGGAAGTCTGAGACTGGGAGACAAAATCCAGTCTGGGATCCCCCTCACAAGGAACCTGAGTGCTCTAAGAGAAGAAGGGGCAGGGAAGCAGGAAGCTCAGGTAAGGGGAGCAGGGGTAGGGTCTGGAAGGCAAGATATTCTAACCCAGCTCATGGCAGGGAGGTGTGAAACCACTTGAGCCCCTCATATGTTTTGGGTCACTCTAAGTTGGTGATGCCCTCACTGAAGCCCAAATCCTCCTTGCTGTGTCACCATCCACAAACTTGGATAGAGCTGACTGGGAGCATTCTCAAGTTTGTGACTGATAAGACCAGGAGCCTTGCACCAGACACTATCTGACTGAAATTAGTGGTCTCTATAATTTAAAGTACTGATACCAAATGGCCCGTAGGCAAGTTGAGACTCTGTATAATGGTAAATCCAGATTTGATGGGACTGAATTTGTCCTAAACCATATGATATCATTTAAAGTCGCTTGTGTGTTCCTATTTTTTTTCCTCTTTGTTTTTTTAGGCAATTGGGGTTAAGTGACTTGGTCAGGGTCACACAACTAGTACGTGTCAAGTGTTTTGTCTGAGTTCAAATTTGAACTCATATCCTCCTGGCTTCAGGGCCAGTGCTCTATCCACTGTGCCACCTAGCTTCCCCACATGTGTGTTCCTACTAGGCTGACTGTGATATTTGACCTTGTATAGATAGGACAGACCTGAATGCAAATTATGCATGAGATTTCATGAGAGTGATCTATTTAGAAATGTCAGTATAAGAAATAAAAGTGTAATTGGATCTAAAGTCTGTTACACTGGTCACTGAATGCAATCAGTCCAGGGTGTCAAATTCATAGATGCATGAAGTGATTTTCTATGTAACATGCTTCAGAAATACATTCAATTGAATCAATATCACATGACTGTCAATGACTGTTTCATACTACAAATCCATATTATCATTTATTACCTCCTGCTTTTTCTTGTTTAGGATTTTGGGGAAATTACTATAGGAAATGTTGCTAATGAACAAGTAATTTCTAGAGGGTGATGCAATTATACCCTTACTAAGTTAACCTTTCTTTAGAAATAATGAATTAAGCTATTCAAGAGTGGAGTTACAATGCTTAACAACTTAAGTATTTAATTGGGCATGCTCTGTTTTAAAATAGATAATGATAACACTGTTTGGAAATAGTACAAAAGACCCTGTAAATTCTCCTTTTCTGGGAAGTCCTTTGGGGACTTAACAGGTGACTTGAGACCTTCTTTTTGGAAAATGTGATAAAATCTTATCATCCCTGGGGAACAAGTTGCTAAAAGAAGGTTGTCCAAGTCTGACTAAGTAACTAAGACTTCTCAGTACCTGAGGGGGTGGTGATTTTTAGAAGTTTGTTTCTAATATAGAAATTATTTTTATCTGTTAGATTGACCACTGATGATGAAAATTATAAAATTGATCCTGGAAGAGTATGTTTGGAAATTACCTGCTTTGAGCCATCTTGGTCTCAGCAGGCTTCAAAATGGGATTTCTTCCTTGAGCAGAGTTGATATGATCAACTGGCAGTTGACAGGATATTTGACAGGATCATGTAACTACTAACTTTCAAAAGATACTACTGGCAGAATTTTTCCATGAGCATGTTCTATAAATAGGGAAACCATCAGACCACATAGGTATGACCTAAGTAATATTTCTTATGAATAAGCCTATGGAGGTGATGAATACATTTAAGGGATCAGATCTGGTAGATATAGTGCCTGAAGAACTATGGATTGAGGTTCCCAATATTGGACAAGAGGCAGCAACAACAAAAATTCCAAAGAAAAAGAAGAGCAAGAAACCAAAATGGTTGTGTGATAAGGCTCTACAAATAGCTAAGGAAAGAAGGAAAGGGAAAGGAGAAAGGGAAAAACATACTCAAGTGAATGAAGAATTCCAGAGAATAGCAAGGTGAGATAAGTTTTTCTTAAGTGAGAAATGCAAAGAAATAGAAGAAAACCATAGAATGGGAAAGACAAGAGACCCTTCAAGAAAATTGAAGATATCACATGCTAGTAAAGCTATGCTTAAGATTCTGTAAGCTAGGCTTCAGCAATATGTGAACCAAGAATTACCAGAAGAACAGGCTGGTTTTCAAAGAGGCTGCCAATATTCTCTGGATTATGGTTAAAGTAAGGGAACTCCAGAAAAAAAAATATACTTCTGCTCCATTGACTCCACTAAAGCCTTTGACTGTGTGGATCACAACAAAATGTGGCAAGTCCTCAAAGAAATGGGAGTTCCAAATCTCCTTACTCATCTCCTGAGGAACCTGTATGAGGGCCAAGGGGCAACAGGTACAACAGAACATAGAACAACTGCTTGGTTTCAGATTGGGAAAGGAGTACCACAAGGTTGTATGTTGTTACTTTATTTAACTTGTATGCAAAGTACCTCATGTGAAATGCCAGGCTGGAGGAATTAAAAGGTGGAATGAAGGTTGCCAGGAGAAATATCAATAATCTCAGATATGCATATGGTATCACTCTGATGGCAGAAAGTGAAGAGGAATTAAGAAGCCTCTTGATGAGGGTGAAAGAGGAGAGTGTAACAGTTGACTTGCTACCTGTGGTACCAGAAGAAATATAAAGAAATCATTGAAGACCAGTTATGAGGCACTAACCAAACTGTTTAGTTATGATATATGGAAAATGTTATTAATATTAATAATGATTACCTATTGTTATTAATAAGAGTGTTCTTAAAAGTGTGATCATTAAGGTAGTTTGAAAAAAGGTTTGTGGCTGATATATATGACAGGGTGTTTCTAAAAAACAAAATTTTGTAGAAGGTAAAAAGGAGCAATTATCTCATTAAAATGGGTCATGAAAGGAAGAACTAATACAGAGGAAAGAGGTGGGAGTGGAAGCCTGGTAGTATTGGAACCTTACTTTCATCTGGTTTGAAGAAGAAACAACATATACACCTGAAGAGGTTTAGAAGTCTACTGAACTTCAAGAAAGGTGAGAAAACTGGAGGATAGGATGGGAGAGAAACTTTTGCAAGTGAGTACAGA